GACCGATTATTTAAAAAAATTGAAGATAGTTAATTGAAAATGGAAAATTCTTTATAGATTCTTTTACTCTACTTCGCTATTCACTTCAATCATTAGTCAAATTCTCTTTGATTCATTATCAATATTTATAAGGTATTCATGAGAAAATGAAATTCAATGAATTCCATTTCTTCATTTCAACAAATGCATAGATCAGCGCGCGCGAGAGCGCGCGCATAGACCTTGTCAATATGAAAGTCTCTGATTCATGATTCACTCAATCGAAGCTTTTAATATTTTCAGTCATTTTCCCATCTTCTGACACGAAAAAACCGATTTCTTGTGGCAAGAAATTCCCACTTTATCATGAAATGTTCATGTTCACGTCATGAACACTTCACCGAAATCTGACATTATTTGACACATTATCCGGAATTCTTATCCCAAGAAATTTATCCCCATGAGATGAGATATTCGGCGCAAGAAATTAGTTTTGTGATATTATGACGATATTTCCCTCAGTGTACTAACGACTAACAATCCATCGAATTAAGTAAATAAATTAAATTGACATTAAAAAAGGAAACTCATTCGTGTTTTTTGCCAAATCAAACGTCTTCCTTGTTCATCAAATTGATAACTTAAATTTGAACGCATACAAATCATCCATTCGGATGTAAAAATCAAAATCTTTGAATTTTCAATGGAAACCGAGCAATCAATTCCCAGGAAATATGAGAACAGTTAATTAATCAGTACTTGATCCCCTCAAACAATCAATTAAGCCCTCAGTAACTCGGGGCATCCAACGGATACACCGAGGAAACTCGGAGAATTTGCTTTCATCACATCGAAATCGATGGGTCACGGCCACTAGTTCCAGTAGTTGTACTGTGCGTCAAGTTTACGTCGATATAATTTCACTAAAAGTCCACCCACCTGACCCTCCCCCCCCCTCCCCCCTCGCCACTCCAGCCTTCGTCCGTGTCTCAAGACCCATTACCACATGTATTCATGCGATGCATGCGCTTGAAGCCCATCAAACTGGCGTAATGAATGAGACTTGTTGTCGACCGTTGGTGGATATACTTGAGGCAATCTACTGCGTCAAAGAAACTCGTTTATTTATCTTTTCACGTGCGGTTGGTTGAATAAACTCTTGAGAGTACTTTTGAGAATTCAATTTTACCGTCTGTGATTTTTTGCTCCTTCATGCAATCAAAACTTCTTAATCCTGTACAGTTGCATCCCTGGTAAAACAGTCCGATTACTTCCGACTGGGTGATGAAAAATAAATCGGCGTTAATGATGTTTCTGTCTTTGCCCGTTAAATTCCGATTGGGCGGTAGATAGAGTTTGGAGTTTGAGAAAATTATGAGAATTAATAGGATCAAGGGTATGTGGCCGTTATCGTCTGATTACTTTCCAAAAAAGTGGTTGATAGATCTCATATTCCTCATAAATCCCCATAAATCTTTAATATTTATTGCTCATTTAAATATTTATATGCGTAATATAAGATCTATCAACCACTTTTTTGGAAAGTAATCGGACGATAACGGCCACATTAATTCCCCAAGAAAAACCTCTTTATAATTCTCCAATGCGGATTTCTCATCTACTTTAATTGACAAATGTCCCTCTCAGCGCCCAATAAGAAATGTCCATAAACTTCAAACATTTATCGCTTTCAAATTCTCTGAATTTCGAGTCAAATTCACTTGAAAGATTGAAAGTTACAATGGAATTCTCCGGAGATGTTCCTCGCAATGTGGTGCTAGCCAGCGTTGACGTTCCCATTCCACTTCAACATCGAATCGATCGTGGGCTTCTCCAAACCCATCATGATTACCCCTTCCCACTATTCAGCAGGTATTTCAGCTGTGAAAAACCGACGGAAAAACCAATACTCGTGGTGTCTCTGGTGGCAACTGGCGAGGGATGAGAGCACGTACGAAAAAATTCGAGGGAAAATCCTAACGCCATCACTAGAGAATTCTCTTTGAATTCCTACTGGATTTTCGTTAGTTCTCGTTCAGAAATCTACAGCAATAGAATACCAATAATGTTCTAGTAGTTTCATTTTTTTTTTCATAGAAATCGTTTTCAAATATATTGGAGCATTTACGAAAAATTCACTGAGAGAAAAATCTAAAGTTCGATTTACAATAAAAAAATAATTGAGGCATTTTGGTGAACGATACGATTTTTTTTGTATGCGGCACATAACATTATAGTAACTTCACAAGCGTAATTTTTGCAAATCAAAATGCAGTTAAACTAACCAAAGTTCAAAAGTAACCACGACAAATCTATCGTGAGTAGAACTATAAAATAGTTGCAATGACTACATTCTATTGTAGTAATTACTTCTCCGGCCATAGTCACCGTAACCCATGAAGAATTGTTGAGGACTTTTTGACTATAATTCGATGGTGATGGAATATAGTCAGAAGAATTATATTTTTCTCTCAGTGTTGGAGATAAAGAATGGATTCTCTGTCTTGCGCCGTTAGGAAACATTTTTAAGAACAGAAAAAAAACTAGCAAATTTATCCCTCGAGGGAAATTTATAAAATCATTGGAAAATTGTAATTTTTGCAAATTACGATTTCTTTATGTATAAATAAGTCATGGACAATCAGTTTTCCACCTGAAAAACACTTTTCGAAATCGAACAACCCTTGCCTATTATTATTATTATTAGGAACACTCAACCCTCTTTTTATAAAATGAAAAATTACAATAATAAATAATGAATGTTAATAATAATCAATAATAATAATAATAAAAAGTCAATAGAATTAGATTTTTCTATACGAATTATTTTATTGAGATATTTTCTATAAAATTTCCTTGGCTCAAATTTCCTAAGCTTTTTATTCTATTTTCATTTTCTTTTCACCAAGACAAATCGAATTCTATTCATTTTTCTGTGAATTATTTTCTTGTGAAGCAAATTTTGAAAAAAAGTGATTTTCCGTGAAATGTAATTTATAGTAACTAACAAGGCTTATTCAAGATTTTATTCACATTTAATTTTCAAATTGAATTTTCTCATTTTCCAATAATTATAACTTATTTTGTCTATATTTTTGTTAAGGAATTTTGATAGAAAAAATGTCCATGAAAAACATTTTACAAAAGAAATGAAAATCCATCGATTTTATTTCGTTAAATGTCGAGTGTGAAGAAAACGAAAGGAGACGCTATCGAATTTTTCATAGAAATCCTCGGAATAACAAGTAGAATTCGCTGAAGAATGGGCTGGGATGTCCCCTTGAATTTTTTTATACGTGACAAGAGCAATCATGGGTTGGGCCGTGGCTTTGGGATTCTATTCGGCGTAATCTCCCTTTGTCATCGAGATGCGTGACACTAATGAGATATGTCCTCGCTCCGGTTGGCAAATAATACGTCCGCACACTTTTCCTCGCCCATTCTCGTGGATATCTCATGATTGGGGGATCCTGAGGGCGTAATGAGTTTGCAGAGAATATCTCGAGGCGCGTGGGGATGATTTCACACTGGAATTTGCATTTAGATGCACTCGAGGTTTACAGGGTCTCTCATATTTCAATTTTGATAAATTTCATGCGCCCAAGGGGCGAGAATATCGAATTCTTCGGTATTGATTTTGCGTGCTATAATATCGGAAACAAGTGGGAATTTGCTGCTGTATTGCGTATCCCTCATGAATCAAACCCAGAGTTAACCCAGAGTTAACTCTGGGTTCATGGAAATTTCCCAGAGTTTCTCACTTTTTTCGCTGGGTTTTTTCCATAATCCAGAGTTGACCCAGAGTCAACTCTGGGTTTGATCTATCAGGGATAGTATAGTTATTTTTGCTAATAAATTAGCAATATGCCTCCGAATGGTCATTTTGCTTATTTTTTTCCATTGTATATTATTCATTGCCTATTTTATTTTCTTGAATTGAATTAATTCCCTTCCCATTCGACACCTATTCTCTTTTGTAATTTTTATCTGGATTTTTTGAAGAGAATATGGGTTATCAGCTCCGAATACCTAAAATCTGAGTTTCTTTTAACTGATATTTCAGCTGCTCATAACAAGTTTGCATGTGTTCTCTCCTGTCATGCTGAATTTTTCATAAAATTATAAAATATATACTTATATCACGAGTTTGTTCATTCAAAGTGAGATCGAAGTAATTCGTTTTAATGATAATTGAATCAATTTGAACCTTTTTCTTTCATTCGAATAATTAGTGAAATTGAACTTTCCACAAAGATGAAAATAGTTGTTTCATCGTTCTTTGATTGATTTATCAAAAAATATATCAACTGTCAGAAAATTTCGATGAAATGGAATTCATTCGAAACATCACATTCAAACATGTCAAAAGGACATCCTAACAAATTTTTTAAGCCGTTATTCAATGAATTTAGGTCATTTTTTTGAGTTATCGTGTTACAACTGAATTTACAAAAAATTCAAAAATTAAAAAAATGAATCAATGAATTAAATTTTAATTAATAGCGATGGATAGGGCTTAGCAAACCCTTCATTTAAGAAAAAAAATTATTCAATTTCATCGATTAAGATTTTATCCTTGAGCGAAAAATTGTCGAAAAACTTTGACGGACGCGGTTTAAAAAATGAATTTTCGGACTTTCGTGAAAAAATCCAAAACTTAAATTTGAATGATTACAATGCTCCATTCGGAAGCAAAAAATATATTCTTAAAAAATGTCTGAAATATTCTTCACGGAGATAAATTCCAAAGAAAAGAAAATGAAAAATATCACATTCGCCTCACCTCACCCTCTCACGACAGAATTCAATTTCTCTTTTCATCGAATGGAAATCAATCGTTTTACGTCAATAATAGAGAACTTTCCATGAGTCCTTGACATTGTTGAAACTGAGATTGGACTCACCGGAGTGTAAATGGTTGAATAGCGTGCATTTGACTGAGACTTTCATATGAATTAAACTACGTAATGTTGACCTTGTGAAAACATTAATTGGTATTCCATGGAAAACTTTGGTTTCAGGTGGCGTGGGGCACGGCTGTGATGGAGTTGCAGAGTTGGTTACTCTATCATCTGGTAGCTGTTACCGACTGCAACCAAGGTATATGTCGTATGAATATATCATACGGAGTTTAACCAGGCTTTTGAAACATGGAAATTGTGTTATGATTAAGGGGCTTCGTCCATCACCTAGGATTAGGTTTCATGTATCACATTCATGTTATCATTTTCCAGGACATTAATTCAGTAGCAAAGCGGTAAACCGGGTTAAATCGATTTTGACTTTTGGCGAGTTTTTGATGAATATCTCGGAATCTAAGAGAGATAGAAAATTTGTCCCATGACCTTATTTATAACCCCCAATTGGCTCTACAAAAAAGGTAATGACAAAAAATTTTCCATCTCTCTTAGATTCTGAGATATTCGTCAAAAACTGACCAGTAGTAAAAATCGGCTTAACCCGGTTTACCGCTTCGCTACTGAATTGAACTATTATCAATTTGTTTATTCAGTTTTTGCATTATTTTTTCGGACTTCCTTGCTCGGAATTGCATGAGCCACAGAAAGTTATCGTGATGTTTTCATTCACGCAAATTTTTAGATATTTTGCAGTGCGTTTGCGCAGGAGGGGATGGGGGAAAGTGGAACGTTTGTCATCGGCTCAAAATCGTCACATCTTTGTTATAAACAAGGATGTCATAATTTAAAGATTAAGATTTTATCAACCCTCGATCACTCGCGCTCGGCCCGCTTCATCCGTCGCACGGTTAACGCAGCGCTAAACCGAGCGCGCTGTTGCCACCTTGACGCTCACCGCTATGCGCGCATTTCAAGTGTAGCAGTGAATGTAGCAACACTGACGCTGAAGGCGTCGACAGGGACTCACTCGCAGCCAGCGCAACGCCGCTTTTCTCTCCGTTTGACGTTTCTTTCCTTTTTATAGCTGAATAAATTTCCCGAGAAAAAACTGACAACGCCAACGCTTATTAAAAGGATTGAACTGTGAACTCTAATTTTTTAGAATTTTTAAGCGTCGTGAAATATGTTGAAATATAAAAAAACGAAAATGGGCGGCGCCGCTTTTCTCTCTGTTTGACGTTTCTTTCCTTTTTATAGCTGAATAAATTCCCCGAGAAAAAACGGACAACGCCAACGCTTAATAAAAGGATTGAACTATGAACTCAAATTTTTTTAGAATTTTTAAACGTTGAGAAATTGCTAAAATATAAAAAACGAAAATGTGCGGCGCCGTGTTCATTGAGCGAGCGATCGAGGGTTAACCCTTCGTTACTCCCGTCCACAGCACGGGCTGGTGAAATTCCATTTTTTAGTATAACTTCCAAAAAAACTCATTAAAAAATTCGACTGAGTTGTTGGTCGGTCGTGGGTTGAAGTGGGTGTGACCCATTACGGTTGGAACCAATAACTTCCCGACCAATTGCCTTTCCTTCATTCATTAGAATTTGTTGGATAGAATGATTTTTCTATCCAACATATTTTATAATAATAAATAAAAAAAAATTATTCTATTGAAATATTTTTCATTGAATTTCCTCGGCTGAAAGTTTTTTTGTTCGATTTTCTGAATGAAAAAAACAGAAAAATAGAATGAAAAAGAATTGACCTGTATTGAAAAATCTTTGAAAAGTTTCAAATTTCAAAAATTCATGTTCGAATGATTCCGAAACCGCGGAGGCGATGTAGTTCAGAATCTAAAAGAAAATATTTTTCGTTTACTTGTTTATAGTGATATCAGGGGAAAAATATTGAGAGACCTTTCTTAATGAAAAATTTTATGGGCTGCAAAAATAGTCTTCTGATATTTTTCGATAAGCTTACGTTATTGGTTTTTATTTCCTCTTTCCAACATATCAGTCGATCATATTTATAATTTATTTATTTAATTTTTCATGTTCTTTTCTATTTTTAGTTCGCTGAGTGCCCTTCGTTGTTTTTTTACGTTAAAAAGCCTTTCTGCACGTTCATTTCATTTTTCAAATCGAATTTATGAACACCAGGAGGTCAACTGCACTAATGTACGACGGTGAGTGGATTAATTGACTTCATTTCATTTTTTGTCCGTTACAACCGGCAGAATTCCCTACTCTCTTCGATCACTTATTTCGTTCTATTCAATTAAGTAGTTCTGAGGAAGAAAATGTATTCAGTAATCATCAGGTGATCATTGTTTCCGTTGAAGAACCGAATTTCTGCAGTTGAATTTCATGATTCGTTGTTTATAAATAAATAATTGAAATTGGTCAGACTTTTGGATACTTAATTTTTTTTAGGCATGGTGTCGATGTCTGGTAAAATTCTGAATCGATTGTTTACAGATTATTTATGGCAAATGCTCGTAATTTTCCAAAGATTGAGATTTTCAAATTATTTCATCAGTTATTTCAATGGGGAATTTTCAGTTATTTTAATGGGGCTCAAATGAAAGCTCTCATATTTTATCATTCACAGTGATGCAGTCAGCAGCTACCGCAGGTGGAGTATACCCAGCAAGTGGTACAGGTAGTAGAGCCCGAGATTTGGGTCTCAGGGCGCAGAAGAAACTGTTGGGACGTGTTGTTTCCTCTGGGGCTGGGAGATCACTGTTCATCGATGATGCAACAACTTCATTACTCGATAATCTGTTCAAACTCATGGAGAGGGTCGCCAAGAGCCATCCGGATATGGATAAGAAACAGCCCGAAAAAGTCCTCAAGAATATCGTCAAATTGTCAATTAAGGTAAGAGAACTGTGAACTTCGCAATTTAACGCGAAATGGGAACTTTGCGATTTAACGCGAAAGTGTGAATTTCGCGATTTAACGCGAAGGGTGAATTTCCCGATTTAACGCGGAAGTTTGAATTTCGCAATTTAACGCAAAGTGTGAACTTCGCGATTTAACGCGAAGTGTGAACTTCGCGATTTAACATGAAGTGTGTACTTTGCGATTTAACGCGAAGTGCGAACTTCGCGATGTAACCCGAACTGTGAACTTTGCAATTTAGCGTGAAGTGCGAACTTCGCGATTTAACGCGAACTGTAAACTTCGGGATTTAAGGCGAAATGTGAACTTCGCGATTTAACGCGAAGTGTGAACTTCACGATTTAACATGAAGTATGTACTTTGCGATTCAACGCGAAGTGCGAACTTTACGATTTAACTCGAAGTTCGAACTTCGCGATGTAACGCGAACTGTGCACTTTGCAATTTAGCGTGAAGTGCGAACTTCGCGATTTAACGCGAACTGTAAACTCCGGGATTTAAGGCGAAATGTGAACTTCGCGATTTAACGCGAAGTGTGAACTTCACGATTTAACATGAAGTATGTACTTTGCGATTCAACGCGAAGTGCGAACTTTACGATTTAACTCGAAGTTCGAACTTCGCGATGTAACGCGAACTGTGCACTTTGCAATTTAGCGTGAAGTGCGAACTTCGCGATTTAACGCGAACTGTAAACTCCGGGATTTAAGGCGAAATGTGAACTTCGCGATTTAACGCGAAGTGTGAACTTCACGATTTAACATGAAGTATGTACTTTGCGATTCAACGCGAAGTGCGAACTTTACGATTTAACTCGAAGTGCGAACTTCGCGATGTAACGCGAACTGTGCACTTTGCGATTTAGCGTGAAGTGCGAACTTCGCGATTTAACGCGAACTGTAAACTTCGGGATTTAAGGCGAAATGTGAACTTCGCGATTTAAGGCGAAGATCGCTGTCATTTTTTCTTCAGTGAAATGTTTTTCTACTTTTATAGTCGAACATCGGAGCTTTCATTTGACCCCCTCTTCACCTTAAGTCTCCGGACATCTTACAATGATTTTATTATTCAAACTTTGCAGGTCTGAATTTGAATCTCGATATTGAACCGTTAGAAAACATTTCAAAAATCTGAAGAAAAATTAGCAAGTTTACTTTTGGAGGAAGATTGATGAAATAATTTAAAAAGGGAAATTTTTTAAAATTACGAGAATTTTCTGTAAATAATTGATAAACTATCAATTTTCCTTCAAATTTATTCGTATTCGGAATTGTACTAGAAATAGATTTCATGCCTATAAAAAATAAGGCGTTCAAGAGTTTAAAGAATTGCAATTATTTATTTGTAAACAACGAATATTTAAAGGAACAATCATTCTGTGCAAAATGCAATTTGAATGACGCTGAATATTCATGATTAGAAAAAAAAATTCTCACGCAATTGAATTGAAAAATTTGGTGATTGAAAAATCAAAATCAAAAATGAAAATAAAAAATAAAAATGCAAAATAAAAATAAATAAAAAAATTGAAGTTTCCTATTCCCGAAGTAATCGACCAAATATCTGGTATCACACGAATTTGATTAATGAGTTCATCTCATTTACGAATGTCATAAGTCTAAATCATTCATTAAATTTCCAGATAGGATTATTACAGCGTAATCAACAATTGGGTCCATCCGACGAGGCGAAAATCAATGAGATAAGAACGAGCCTGAGAGCGACAGCAATGGCAGTTGTCTCCTTTCACGAGCTTGAGTTCAGTTTTGATCGTTTGTACTTAACGAGATCCCTAGAGCGCTGCAGGACGGCGATAATATCCTTAATTAAACCCCATCTCACCGACAAATCACAGGACCGTTGCGACATGGTCTTTGATTTTCTCACCAATCCAGATTTTCTCGACTCTGTGTTTAGACAGGACTCCGAACACCGTCCAACTCTCGGTCTACTGGTTGGAGACGTGAATAAAGCACTCGATGCTGGGCATCTTTGATTTAATCAAGTGGAAGACAAAGCGAAATCATTAGTTCAATGGAATGAGAGGATTAGTCAATATCTCGACCAATAGAACGGTAAATTTTCATCGCAAAAGTTGGACGTTTGACGAGAATTTTGTGTCATTTTAAAAAATGGAGAAAAAAATCATTTTTGTTGAAATCAAAAGATGAAAAATTCGATTGGGAACGTCAAATTGAGTAGTAAATGCAAGACGGTGCCTTTTCAGGATAAAAATATCTTATAGAGGAAACCCCGATTTTCATTTTCTGGAAAAAGTACCAAATTTGTTCGATTTGCAGACGAACAATAGATGAAATATCACACGGAGAGAAATGTTCAGTTAAAATTACGGAACTCACAATTCACTCACCGATTACGGAATCGACTCAGAAAATTTAAGTGACGGTATTGTAATTTTTCACAGGAGATTCAGATAAAAATTACGGAACGCTCCGGAATTATGGAAAAGATATGTAATTTTTATTGAATATTTCTCTCCGTGCATTTTTATCGGTTCAGCAAATCGACAGGGGCTGGAAGCTCGAGGAATAAGAGAAAAAAAATCGTTTCCACCAAATTGAAAAGAAGAAATCATTTCGAAATAATGAATAATGACGAATTAAAATTATTTGCATTCACAAATTTATACTAATCGCAAAATCCGTTGAATTTCCAATGACACATCATCATTCCTCGATATTAAATCAGATTAAAGTGAGTGAATAGAAAAGAAATGACTCATCTCCTCATTCCACACTGTAAAATTCACAGAATCTATTTTTCTTCACCATAAACCACTTCGCACGATAACAATAAAAAGAGAAATAGACGAGTGAGTCTTGTGTCCTCACTGTTCAGTAGCCGCTCGATTTCACATCCATTGTCTCTGACCCAGTCGCAGGCTCGAATCGCACATATACATATATGTCATAAGTTTATTCCATTGTAATGACACGAGATAGAGAACTCATCATTACACGGGAGAAAAAAAAAGGAAAATGGGAGCGAGACGAAAAACGTAGGATATTACTTTCTGTGGTTGAAAGAGCAGAAGCTGATTCGCGTAGTCAATCGAGTGGGTTTCGATTGACGAGAGCCAGGGACGAGATGAGACTTTCGATCTAGTGTAATATTTGTTTATATGTATTATATTCTACATTAGTTCTTCCAGAATTTTATTTATATTTCATTTGTATTCCTTCATAATTTAATTGACATAATAAATTCACCGCGAACTCGAACCCCTCATTGAGTGATCCGTCAGGGGATGTGGACACACTGATAGAAAAAATTATTTTTATTGAGATGATTCTTTCATGGGACAAGTATTATACATATACTTGAACCAATTTCGAATAAACAAGATCTTACGGTGAATATCAATTATTTCTTCTTGGCGTCAAGTCACATGTATTCATCACGAAAATGGCAAAGTTTTATTTTTTTTAACCTAATATAATCGCCAGTCGAGAAATTTTCTACTTTCATGAATTGATGAAAAATTCGTATCTAGGAGATAATTACTTTAAGGAATGAATTGAATGTTGTTTTCTCGAATGAAGCTGATGTTTAAATTGAGCTTTCCATACATCACATTGAACGAAATTTGTGATATCCAAGTTTGTGTTGAATTGCCGTAATCTGTGATTCTGTTATTGTAAACTAATGCGATTTTTTTTAGTCAAGAAATATAAACTTCTTTCAACTCAACGACATCTTACTACAATCCCAAAGCTTTTTCCGCGTAGCAATATTCATCCTGATTCGACATACGAAATGCTCACTTCAATTATAATTTACTTGGAACAACGTATGTTCGTGTTGATTGAGATAACAACGTATTTAGTCATGAGAATAATTTTGATTTTTGAGTGAACCAATGAATTTCTGGAGTTGGCAAACTTTTGGCTAGAAGGAAATCAAATACTCTCATTCTTGCGACAAATAAAAGGAACTTCAATTCTAGAAAAGTTCGATTTCTCCCAATCAAATGCATCTCAAGAAGAGATAACTGGTATTCACTATGAGATCATGTTTATTTGAAAATTAACAACCAAACGATAGTTGATTCAAAAAAAATTCTTTGGATAAAATTAATTTTTTCTGACAGTGCACAATAATGTTTGAACTCACTTTCTCTCACATCAATGTGGAATTGTGAACTTGAATATTGAACCGCTTGATTAATGTAAATTCGTAGGTGTAATGGGTACCAAACTATATTAATTTTCATCCAAATATTTTTTTAGTCAAGATTTTTATGCGTTTTCCAATGGATTTGAATCAATCCAGAGGAAGCTGTTGATGGGCAAAAGAATGATGGATTTATGCTCTCATTGAACCAATCGGAGAAACCAAAAACATACGTGAATGTTATCACCAATGAGCTTATCAAAGAGGAATAATAACTGAAGAGGCTCAAATAGCGTGTTTAGTTTTTTATTAGGAATTCAATGTTTGTAAATCGAAAGCAACATTGTAATGTTTTAATGTGCTCGACATATCTCCATCTTTTTCCGACCAAAGAGTGATGATAGATTTTGTTCGTTAGTGAAACTCAAGATCAAAATGATAATCAATGAAAAGAAAAAGAATTGTGGATAATGAATTTCGTTTGTGATTTTGTAGACGTATGCGTTTTGGAAGAAATTATACACGACCTTTACACAGTGATTCGATGCATTATTGTTAAGAATTGTATATTTATGTGATGTATTACCATATCGTTTTACCACGAATAAATTATTTGTAAAGAAAAATCATTCCTCAGCTTTTTTAATCTGAAATATCAAATCGTAGGATAAAATATCACAGAATTATTGTGAAATACTTGATCATGGTGTTATCATTTAAACATTGCGGAATGAGAATGAAATATGATTTTGATCGCAATTTTTTTAAGAATTTGAATGCAAAAAAATCTTTTCTAGGTCAAAAAATTGACTTGAGGAAACGAAATGGGAAGTTGGCTGTATAATAGTTTGAAGTTTCATTTTTCGTATCGATTTTTAAAGATTGAAAGGATCCGCGTCACCTTTCGCTGCCAGAGTGGTTAGAGTTGAGTAAAAACTGCATTGAACCTAATTTTTAGAGCATGAAATTTCCAACTAAAAAGTGAGTAGAGGCATATTGCTGGCAGTAATAGTTTGGATGTCAGGCGCGTCCGAAATTTTACCCCCAAAATCCCGATGTTTGCCCTAACAGCCAATTCTCTATTTTAGTTGTGAAAATCATTTTATGACTGAAAAGGTCATATGAAAAATCTGAAAAAATTCTCAAAGATCATCAAGAGCGCAGGGGACGCCTCCCAAGAGCCTTATTTTTCCTATAAAAATGACCTGGAAATAACGTTTTCCATAAAAATAATTCTGTAGCGAAGTGGTAAAATGGTTCAAGTTAATTGTGACTATTGGCCAGTTTTCAATGAATATCTCGGAATTTAAGAGAGATAGCAAAATTTTTGTTATAAAGTTTTTTGTAGAACCAATTGAAAATTACAACGAATGTAATTACGAAAATTTCGCTGTCTCCCTTAGATTCGGAAATATTCCGCAAAAACTCAGGTGCGAGATGAGTCGACTTGAACCGTTTTGTCACTCCGCTACTGAATTGCACTATTGTATGATGTGAACAAAAAACGAAACACGAAAAATGAATGGATTGGAAGCGTCCTCCATTTTTGAAATTTCAAAATCGCAAGTTAAACAAAAATACAAAAATTACCCATTTATTCCTCATTTATTTCTTTATTTATTATGAGCTTTCGGACACTGTATAGAGTCCACTCAGCCCAGAAGAAAGAGAAAAAACAAAATTGACATAAAATACTATGCATTTCCTCCTAACACAATTGAGTTCTAAGTGTATCTGAAAGTTGTTACACTTTTATGCCACATCTTTTAAATTCCTCATTTCTTAAATAAAAGAAAAAAAAATTCCTCATTTATTTCCACTAAAATTTTTCGACATACTCCTCGGTTTTATCGTGAACCTTCACAGGGATCCCCATCAATATTAAATTTCTGTAATATTACAAGGATTCGACCCTTACATCATTGAAGGTTTAAAATATGTTGATTCAATTTTTCAAATAATATAATATTAATAATCTGATTTTTTACGACTAATGAGATATTTAAAATTTGTTAATATGAAACTGTAAATTTACTACTAAGTGAATAATTCAAATTCCTTGAGAGGGGATTTTCGATTACACAAGTAATCGTCAATCTTCCTACCTCAAATTATTGATTGATAAAATATTTGAAAATTTGAATATTTGAATTGATACTCAAAAAATACTTTTAAGTACTCCGAAAATTTCAAGAGCAATGTTATCTAATGAAGGGCTACAATATTAACCGTAATAAAATATTATAAATTTGGCTATTCCTGATTCCACGTTATTTGGTATCGTGCTCGGGAAACTATCGCCAATCAAGATAATCATCGAGTACTTGAATTAACAGTGGATTTCCTCCCAATCTCTCTACCTCGTCTCGAGCTTTTCTGTCCAAATCCTCGAGGACGGTCTTCGTGTATGCGAATGAGCCGAATTTTTCGAGAAGTGTTAAGCAGTATTTCTTCACCTCCACGTCGTTCGTTCTTTGGGAAAGTATATCTATCATTAATCATTAAGGATCAATTTGAAAATTAGAAACATCATTTTCATTGGTAAAAGGATACTCATCACTGCTTTGTCCTCTGGTCTACTCTGGATAGCGTGGATTATCGGAAAACCGAATTTTCCTTCTGATATATCTTCGCAGAACCTTTGACTGTTGTGATGCTAGAGGGACACGATTAATCGATTTGTGAGGGAACTTTACACACTTTAAAAGTCGTGGGATATTGGAGTGAGATTTCTCATGAATTGAAGATCGATTATATATGTCCAAAAAAGAATAATTAGTGCAAAAAAATTGATTGTTTATTGTTTATTTGCTCGGCAGACGCTTAAAATGTCAAAAATAGTTCAGGGCCTTCAATTTTTGCCTTACAGAGGTTTTTTTTTCAAAACTTTTGAAAAAATGTGTGCAATAATAGTGACGAATTAGTTTTCTGACATTCCATTCCTACACAGCTGATTTCGTTTTGTTTAAAATAAAAATTTGCGCCATTCATGTAAAATCGGCAGAAAAATTATCCTTAAAATATTCAAAATATACTCTCGATTCTTTCAGAAACATTTTTCCGGCTATTTTACATGACTGGTGCAATTTTTTTATTAAAAAATAACGAAATTAGCTGTGTAGGAGTTGAACTTAAAAAAAAATTTGTAATTGTTATTGAACACATTTTTTCAAAAATTTTGAAAAAAAAGAAACCTCTGTAGCTCAAAAATTCGAGGCACTGGGCTATTTTTAATATTTTAAGCGTCTGCGGGACAAACAAACAATAGACAATTGAAAAGAACAACCCAACAAAATTAAATTTTTCTATCACTGTACGTCGCGATCGTGAACAAGAAATACAATTCCACAATATGACATTGGCTCATCTTGTTAATAACTGTAATAATTAGGTAAATTATTGGATGAATAATATAATTAATTCAATTGGAAGATATCAAACGTCCCGAATCTCCGTATTCTACCTGCCACATGCGGAGATTATGAGATTCATTCTTCAAAATCACTTCAGACAGAACTTTCGAATGTAAAAAAATCCAAAGAGGAATAGCATGTACATTAATAATAGTCTTCGCAATAGCCACTGATTTTTATAGATGATTGTATAATTTATTGGCTTTAAAAATTCATGGAATAAAAAATGTAGAATTTAACGTCTGCAGTTGACTCGATTTCTGAATTATAAACAAAAAGAAAAAACCTCTTTTAATCATGATGGAAACAAAAAGAGTCAGTACTACAGGTGAACTGTTTATGTATATTATGGAGCAATGCATAATTTTTTTTAATACGCTTAAGGGGTAACAAAATGCGGCCAATTTTCCAAATTTTTCAACAAATTTCTTGCCCAAAGTCATCGATATTTTTACAAATCAAAGCACCTCAATTTCCAGGAAGCGATGATGAAGGTCAATGTGCTTTAGGTTCAAAAAATGCTAATAACTTTGAGCAGGAAATTTGTTTGAAAATTTCGAGTAAATGTTGGCCTTCTGTTGCCCCTTAAGGGTGCCAAGTGAATTTGGCGATGACCTTGAAAATTGACATTCACCAACAAAGTTATAATTTTTTTAATTAATAGTATTAGACAGATGGTGAACAGCAGTGACAATTTCAAAATTTTAGAACTTATGAATAACGAGAAATTAAATAAACAAAATCAGTCTTATACACGGCCTCTTATGGCGTTTTGATTAAATTGAACGTTTCAACCCCCTAGGAACTCAAGAAAAATTTGAAAAAATTTGAAGATATGGGGAATGATGTGTTCAATGTGATGGCGACAGAAAACAATGGGGTACCGAGGTGAATAAGAGAGATATTTCAACCCGCCGTACCCATTTGATTCCATGTTTTCTCGAGGTTCGTCACGCGAAATAGAGGATTTTCCGCATTTATTTTCTCGATGTCAAGTTCCGGTGGCGGGTTTGAAATTTCGTCAGATGGATGAATACATATTTCTCCAATGATGAAGGGAAAGAAAAAATTTTTTTTGAATCTTTTTTCAAACGCACTTGGCACCCTTAAATCCCATACATCTTATCTTCGGCGCGCGCAGCGCGCCCCATTCGCTGGATATAGAAAAATTCGAGCCGATTTCAACTGCCGCTGATTAAATTCTCTCTCAAAAAATACCTCTCGCAATGTGAAATCGTGTTATCCTATTAATAACTGAGACAATGACGTTAATTACATTGAATTACTGTACCAATACTTCAATAATTCAATCTAAAAAGACCTAATATCTTGAATCTTGTTCACTCTTACCTCCTGCATGCAGAGACTGCCATAGTCATCCCTAATCTGAAAATAGACTCCAAGAATTCCAATGAGTTTGGAAAAATCGTTCTTGCACTGTGAAAATAATTGCATCAACTTCACATCCAGATTGAACAAAGCTCCAAGTTCTACAAGGAAACAAACATTTTTTAAAAATCCGGAAATATGAATTTCTAATTAAGTAATAAAATGTTGGGCCGACCCTGAGCTAACCTTGGGACTATTCGCGATCGCAACATAGATGTGAGAGCCACCAAGTAAGCCCTAAACTATCTACTCTTGGGGGCTAACCAATGAAATCACTGAGAGCGAACCAATGATAGGGGTCAACCAATGAGATCACTAGGTTCCCCTTGATCTCATTGGTTGGCCCCCAAGAGTAGTTAGTTTAGAGACCACCTGATGGCTCCCACACCTACGTTGCGATCGCGCACAGAGAGATAAAAGTGAAGGGCAACGTGTGATCCCCAGTGATAAAAAATCTATTTTAGGTTCCAAAAAGCATGACTAATTAAACAATTACAAAATGATCAGTACTCTTATATAAAAAAAAGTTCAATGGAAGCTCTGATTTTTAGCTACAAGACTTGAGAAGACTTTCAATGAAAAACAAATTGTCGAATATACAAGTCTTCGTTTGAAATAGTCTCATCTCGTTTTATCGTTCGTCCTCCACCTGTGCCGTCAACTCGACTTTATAATTACTTTGTACCGCCATATTTCTGTACTCAGCCTCAGATGGACATATGTAGTTGTCACGCCAGTAAATTTCGATTCCCTGTCCTCTATGCAACTGCAGTAATTCATCTGTGAACACTTGAGCTGCCTGCGAGCGAAAAAATGAAAACAGTACTGAGTCCTTGTTTCGATATATCGAAAGAACTCGCAACGTACCTTAGGATGATTGAGAGCTAGTACCTTCTCGAGTGCTATAAATAAAGCATAACCAGCCGCATTAATTGTACTAGCGATACCGAAGATCGAGTGAGCCACTACAATCCCTCCACGTCGGGGCGAGCTGTCTTCAATATCGTCTAGTCTGCAAAAGAAATCTCTCCTCATTCACTTCGTGTTCGTCAAACGCTGTTTACGGACATTGTGAAAAAAAAAATTATTTTCATTACGCTGTGCGAAAAAGTAACTTTTTAGGCACGCGAAGCGTGCCTAAAACGTCCCTTTGCCACACATTGTGATGAAAAATATCGTTCGATACTCGTGGGAAAAGTGTTTTTTGGCTCGTGGGATTATATCACTCGCCTTCGGCTCGTGCTATAAACCTTCCGCGAGCCAAAAAACTCTTTTCCGCACTCGTAACGAAATATACGAATCGTGCCAACCACACGTGTCGAAAATCCCTGCGGTACTAGGCTCGAACGATATTGTTTCGTAGTGACTTTCACTTTTGCCAGTTCGGGGAAGGGTCAATACCAATCCTCGGACAGGGGAATGTGTAAAATAGTATATTTCGTAAGGAGTGCAAAAAAGTGTTTTTTGGTGAGTGGCAGGTTTATATCACGAGCCGAAGGCGAGTGATATAATCCCACGAGCTAAAAAACATTTTTTCACGAGTTACGAACAATATTTTTCATCACAATGTGGCGGAAATTGGACTTTTAGGCACGCGGAGCGTGCCGAAAAGTTCACTTTTCGTCACAGCGTGATGAAAAAGTATTTCAATGTTTGGATAGGGATTATGGTGAAGAGAGGAGTTCTTGAAAGTGTAGCTGAGAGTTTGGGAGGCAGAAATCGGGAGAGGGAGGCTGAACTAACAAACATCTCTTATTGTACTATGTTTACTCACAGCACAGTAGCCTTGTGCATCATGTGCAATAAATCAAGGATAGCCTGGAGCTTTTCATCCGATACTTTCAACCAGTGGTTCATGGCAACCGCCAATTTCACACGTGGGTGCTCACTCCGTACTTGGCGAAGGTGAATGAATGGTTGGAGAATTTTCTGGAATCATTGTTGTTCTTTCATTCGAGTTAATGACTTGGGATCATGGTTTTTTAAATTACCCCGAACTGGTGGAGAACTGGTGACTTGAGAGCCAAATGTTATGGAACTTTTTCGGTACACAATTTATTTTTATTTAGTATACAAGAGAGGTCTGCGCGCTTGGCGCGCATATTTTTAAATCAGGTTTTTAATGTCAGCGATGTTTTTTAAATTACGGGATCGGCCGCGCGTGCTGTGCACGCGCCTTCTCATCTCCTCACACAGTGGCGCTTCGGTTTCAGTCTTTCGTTTACGATTATTCAAGAATTTCGAGATATTTCGAGATTCGATTTTATGCAGAGAAATGATGCGATCATCTTTTTTTCAATCTATGAGTGTTAAAAAAAACTTCGAACCGATGAGTATATGGGGACGATTGCCTCAGCAGTTTCTTAATTATTTGCATAAAACATGTGAAGGAATGATTTTTTCATCTTAATAGTACATTAGAGTACAAGGGCACAAATTTCGTTTTCGACGAATGTGAAGTTTACAAGCCGAGCCGAAGGCGCGGTCTGTATTCACATTCGTTGAAAACGAAGTTTATGCCCGAATGGTCTATACTATTTTATGCCACATCGTGCGATAAACTCGACTTATTGCACGGCGTGCCATAAATTATAATTTAGCATGCAACTGACCTCATCCTGATCTCTGTCACCGCTCTCTGAATATACACTTTTCTTCTCCAAAGCCATTGCGGTTGTTAGACTGTGTCAACGATGTGAAATGTCAGTGAAGAGTGGCCATTAGCCTCGAACAGATCGGAATTTTATAGCGATATCAAGAACCATGAACCGTTTCTATCTGAACCTTTTTAATAACCCTCACTATCTGCACTGATAGAACGATTCATTTATTCCAAACGAGATTCGTTAACTATTAACGAATGGTAGAGTTGAATATGACCAAATGAATATTCGTTAATAGTTAACGAATGGTTCACTTGAATGGCGAAAGTCAAGTCAAACAAGGCTCCTCAAATATACATTCGTTAACTATTAACGACTGACGATTTGGTGGGACCGAATAGACCCTACCCTCCAACCAAAATCCATTCGTTAACAATAACTAATCCGTTCTATCAGTGTGTTATGATACTCGTATGCGACAAAATTCTTTCCATAATTATAAAAATTCCACGACTACTGTCTGTATGTATATTTACATACCCAACAATGGGCCCAGTTTTTCGAAAATTTACTGTGAGAGTATTTTTAATTCACAATCTTCTTCTTCTTCTTCTTTTTCTTCTTCTTCTAATCCTGGCGGCTTTATCCTCTCACTGTGGTAGGGGCAAGTGCCAAAAATTTACGATGTCCCGGAGAGGCGAAGCAATAGTGCATCTAAGAAAACGTCGAGAATAGTAGGGAGTGAGGGAAGTTTACGCGCTGGCGATAAAGTGATTACAGCAGGTACTCTCTAAAATTAAAGCTTTGGGGGTCCGAATTCCACGAATTTAAGTGATTGGGAAGCCCCTACTCATACGTGGCAGTTTGACTGTGGAAAAAGAGGAACAGAGAGGGAGAATCTGTCCGCAAGCGCCGCACCGCACCAGCATAAATCGACATAATGACAAATTTGACAGATCTACACTGAGAGAAAAACAAACACGTTGTCAAACAAGTCTTATTTGGCCCAACAAAATCGCTAAGTGAAAACTGCCAAAAAAGAATGTTTGGTTCGAATTTGAAAGTCTCATACATGAATAATTATTCTGCTTTCGACAGCAACAAAATATTCGGCTCAAGAGGCGAATAATTCACATCAGATGGTGCCTTTTCAGGATGAAAATATCTTATATAGAGGAAAATTTATCCACAAATATTTTATTCCTAAATTATAAGATTGCTATCATATCATTATTATTGTTTCATTCAAGGGTTCATTTGTTGTCTGTGCTTATTAGACAGCCGAAACGAAAAACTACTATCCCTTGCTCCACATAAAACAAACATTTTTCGGGAGCAAAATACGTATGGGAGTATCGAATGACGAAGGAGTAGTGCTAGAAATGACATTTCTTGCGTGTACAGAAAATGCAATTTTTTTTCAACTACTAAATCGATCTTTGCGACAAAAATTTTTCATTCCGGCGCACTCTCTGCATGTTTGGCACAAAAAAATCCTTTTTTGATAATTTTCAAAAAACTATTTTCTTGGAAAAAGTAAGACTTGTTTGAGAACTGGGTCTTTTTTCTCTCAGTGTAGGAAAAATTTAAAAGAAATCAAGAGTTTTCTAGATCGTAAAGTTGAAGCAGTTCCCTGTGAATAAGCGAATTCAAATGCAGCATATAGATGGGAATAGTTTATTCACAAGAATGTCACTGTCATTACCTGATAATTGAATTGCACGGTATTTAAATATAAAATAACACTCACAGTCGAAGTAATCGTCCCACTCACTCAATTTTAATTATACAATCGAGAAGTCCAACACACAATCTGCCACCGCATTCACTCGGAAAAAGTGTTAAGTAGTTCTCCTACCTCTAACGCAATCGATGAATTTTTTCGACAATTAATCGTCATTCATTCTTGTTTTTGCTTGTGAAATCACAATTGGCACATTAGTTAATTTCCTTATTGTTTCATTTCATGTTACATCAATTACTCAGTTAACCGTATTCATTATAGCTATTTCGGTGCCTTCAGCATTTTGGTGGCAGCATTTTCTTCTTAAGCCATTTATCATTCTTTTCATCTGTTTTTATAACAAAGTTTCAATCGCCGGTTGAGTGGAATAAAATTTGAAGAAATGATATTCGGTATATCTATCAGAGGACCTTTCTGTGAGGAATTTTATTCGCTGCAAAAAATGTTTTTTGACCTTCTCCGCTAAACCCACTCGTCCCAACGAAATTGACGAAATAATGCATATTAAATCTGTAGGTGACTAATGGAAAGTAGCAAACCATTTTTTTAATTTTTATCAACTGTGTATTTACCTTTAAAACAAGTAATTTTACAGAAAATTGTCAAGGAACCAAAAAAAATTGAGTGTAAACATGTCAAACAAATTATTTTAACAAAACATTACAAGTAATTTAGCAGAAAGTAAGCAATAAATTTTATATTTTTTCATTAATGTCTACTGTAAGGAATTCTGGCCCCTGTTCTACCCGAACCAACCCCCTGAGCCGCGCAGATAACCTACCACCTTCCCCTAGACTCCTCAGTTTCAAGGTTAAGTGTTCGTTTGAGATCCACTTTGGAAATCTTCGGTTTGTCGTCTCCGAGGTCAAAGGACGGCTGGCGCTCACCGATACGTTTTTGGAGTTTCTTCATTGTCTAGGGGAAAGGGGCGAGTTAACGTTGTTTTCCAGTTCCAGATGGAAAATTCTGCTCCACTACTTATCTCGAAAGCTAGTCATGTTTGGCAAAATATAGCTAGCTAAGTTTTTTTAAACCCACTTTTTATCAACATAATCACAGGTCTTAGTTATCATTTTGTAATCGTTCATTTTTCCAATTAATTCCACTCAACTCCATCCATCTCTTACGATTAATACGATTACTCATAAAAATGACGATATTATCCCTTAAAAATAACGATTCAATATCAATAAATACGAAAGCCATCCGAGCACTTCAGGATTACATGTAAATGTAACTTCTTTACCTAATAATTACTGATAAGGACTAATGAATATGTGAATCTTACACCTATGTTTAGGTCGAGCTAGTAACTCAATTGAATCACTCAACCCATTACTTCAAATGAAATAAAAAATTGTTACTCCGCAATCGTCATTTTCAACAAAAATCACCGAGTGTTAATTTTGTTTCTACAATTGGATAATTGAACTACAATTGAATTATCTAGGCTAATGAATCCCCCAACTGGAGACCAACTGACACTTGAACATTTCGTCACTCGACTTTAACGTTTATCTTTACTTTTATCACCAAAATTGATTTTCTTTTAACGAGAAAGAATCGATTTTGAAAATAAGTCTTGTTTTCTTAAATCAATTATCACTTTAATGTACGATGTTTCATCATCTTTCATGATTTCATGCATCTAAAAACGAAATTTAATTGATCTTCAATGCTAAATTAATTTTAAATTAATTGCGAATTAACAGAAGTTGTTTGACAATTATTTTCCTAAATTTTTTTACATGAAACATGAGTTTTTCTTTCATGAGTGAAGATATTATGCAGAGGAAATAGATAATTATTATCTCGAAAGATCTCAATTTAATTCCCCTTTGGAATTAACAGGAGAATTCTTAAGTCTCAGGGTGATTCCTTTGTGATGCTGTTCCTATCGGTTTCATACCTCAGTAACAAGTCGAGTTCGATGCGGATGTGATCCAACAGCATATTGAGAGTGCCTACTGCCAGAGGCCAGCGTAGTTACCATACAAATTGGCTGGTAGTGGACCTCCAGCTGTGAAGAGTCGTGTCCCGGATTGATCGTAGCAGTGAGTGTAGATTGCTGGGGTGTACTTGACATTCTGGAAGCCATCGATGTACTCCTCGTCAGGAAACTACGGATTTCATGGAAATTATTATGTGCTTGATAATGGGAAATCGATGTTAGAAATTGAATTTAAACAATGAAAGAAACGGAACTGAAACATAATTTATTGTTGATTAATGTTTTGGTTCATCTGCATCGTGTTTAAATATTCAATAGGCCTTTTGATTTAATAACAGGGGATGTATTTAATTTCTCCCCTGAACAAATCAACTCTTCGAAAAATATTGCTTCGCCCCCTGCTCGCTTCGCTTGCCAACCCTGCGGGGGCTTCGCCCCCTGCTCGCTTCGCTCGCCAACCCCGGGGGGCTTCGCCCCCCCGCTCGCTCCCCCCGCCCCATGAGAGCTTGTGTGTGTGACCGTAAGAATTCTTCCCTCCCCCTCTCCTAAGGGGAGAGGAAGGGAGAAACACGATTGGTTTAATTTTATTTACCCCCCCCTTTAAAGGAGGGTTTCGCCCCCCCGCTCGCTTTGCTCGCTCCCCCCCCATGCGACCTTGTGGGTGTGACCGTAAGAATTCGTCCCTCCCGCTCTTCTAAGGGGAAAGGAAGAGAGAAACACGATTGGTTTAATTTAATTTATCCCTCCCCCCTTTAAAGGGGGCTTCCCCCCGCTCGCTTCGCTCGCTCCCCCCGCCCCATGCGACCTTGTGGGTGTGACCGTAAGAATTCTTCTCTCCCCCTCTCCTAAGGGGAGAAGAAGAAAGAAACACGATTGGTTTAATTTTATTTACCCCCCCC